CCCGACAGCATAGAACCAGCCCAAAATGCTACCAACTTGGTCTACCAATCCTATTTCGAACCCAAGAATGATCCGGGACAATTCAACACGGATGGTGAGGTAAATTCGAGATAACATTCTTGTGAGGAAGGTACGACGCTCATTCAAATTATGGACTTGAGCATTTAAATTGGCAAAATATCATAAATTATTTGGTTCTTTCGCGGAATATTATATAATTAATTTGAGGAGACATCATATGATTTATTCGTTGATACATTCGATTTTTTTTTTCTTTTTCTTGATATATTCATGAGAATTATTGGATTTGTTGAGGAATATTATTTGACTTGCTTGCGGAATTATTCGATTCGTTCGAGGAGAATTATTTGATTTGCTCAAAATATTACTTGATTTGTTCGTGGAATTACCTGCTTTGTTCGAGGGGAATTATGTGTTTTATTCTTGGATATATCCAATTTATTCGGGCAAAATTATGCGATTCATGCGTGGAAATATTTCATTCATTCGTGGAAATATGTGATTTGTTTGAGGAGATATTGTTTTGCTAGAGGATGACTTGTTCGAGGAGACGTTATTCCAAACATTCATGGAAATTATTTGACGTGGAGAATTAGTTGTCGGATTCGAGGAGAACTATTTGATTCATTTGTGTAATTATGTGGTGTATTTGAGGATTATTTAACAATTTGAGGAGCATTGTTTGATTATGCTGAGCAAAATTATTTGATTCGTTCGAGGAATATATTCGACTTATGCATAGAGGATTATTTGATTTGCTCGAGCAATTATTGGACTTATTTGTGGATGATTATTTGATATGCTCGAATGATTATTGGATTTATTTGTGGGTGATTATTTAATCCGCTCGAGCGATTATGCGATTTATCTGTGGACATATTTGAATTTCTGTCGAGGAAATGACGAAATAATCCAAGTCTCGACAAGCTATGGCGGACGAACCATCGAGTGTCGAGGATAGAATGGACAAGCATGGATCCATCAAAACGAGGGTGATAATGAAGGACAAACATGGATGATATAGGTCACCGGTGGCGATCTCAAAGACATAAATCATTCTCTTTTGGGAGAGGTAAGACGATTGGGAGCGATATTCTCGACCTTCAGGTAAAAAGCTATTCTCGACTCTT